TAGTAAGAAACGTGAATTATTTGTCATACAAAATGACTACAAGAAAGGAAGTTTCTAAGAAGCATCATAAAATTACTTAAAACTTCGAGGAAGACAATCTCTTCTTTAGTTCCATATGAGTTCTGAGCTCTAACTGTATATTCACCCCTATCATCCATTTTTACCCTGTTGATGGTTAAGGCATAGTCATTATCGTTGTACTTCTTCATATATTTGACACTTTGCCTTAGCTCATTAGCATCTTTATGCCATGTAACTACCGGTGGTGACATAGCAATGACTCTAAAAAGTGATGTTTAATGACTAACGTTTGAGTTGATTGGTGTTAGACAGTGAGTGTTGTAATCTTTAACACATTTAAAAAAGTTTTGAGAAATGTGTGCTCATTTAAGCCGATTACCTGCAATAGAATGTTGCGCTGTCGCCTTCTTTGCAAGTAGTACTGAAGGGTTTGATTATAAATCGGGGTTGTCCTTCTTCTCTGTTAAACCATGCGTCATGAATGTGGTATTCTGCTGGACGATGTTTCCGTAATGAACTGTAATTTGAAATACGACCCAATGGTGGATTTGGCTCGGGCCAAGCGTCCTAAACAGATAAAAAAAAACAATAAAAACTGCATTTAGAAAATTATATAATGTAACTCGTAATTCTAAAATACAAAAGCGTACATATTTATGTCTAATACTGTCACGAATTGAATGATAACGTTCACTTGGTATTCTTTCAGAAGCACTACTTCCTGGAGCGTTATTCAACCACGGATGCTCAAGAGCTTGTTGAATTGTCATACGACTACTAAAATTTCGGAAACTGTTTATTAACTTATGCATTAAATGTTCATGCTCGAAGAACCAGATAATTGTCAGGTATTTTATGAATCCCTCTGTAGTTTTTAAAGTCATAAAGAACTGTTCTAATTCAAAAAATTTTCCTTGGCCTTACTTTGGATCAAGAAGCAATAACTTCTTGATAAAATCTTTTGCATTATCAGATATTTTTGCGAAGCAAGGATCATCCATATTCCAATCGCAATTCTTAATATTCCTTAAAGTTTCTTCGTCAGTTTCACCGCCGAATGGTGAGAGCCCAGAAAGCCTTAAACGGTTTTATTGAAATCGGCGACTGAATGAAAAGCTAACAAAGCTATCACGAGCAAACAGCCTATACAAAAGAAATATTATTAATAAGTAAACAAATGTAGTCAACTTACAGAATGTAGGTAAGGACACCAACACTCCACATGTCGGTGTAGAACCCAACTGGTTTACCCAGCGTAATTTCTGGAGCAGCAAATTCTGCAGTTCCTGTAGTAACTTTAACAGTTTCTTTAGGGTCCAACTTCGCTGTCAAACCAAAATCAATAAGCTTTAGTTGGTTGCTCTTCTTCGTTGTAAACATGATATTTTCTGGTTTTAGGTCCAAATGAACGTAATTCATTTCATGCATATGTCGCAGGCCATCGCAGACTTGTTTCATGTACTCAATTGCTTCAT